GAAGAATCAGAGGAACCAGAAGAACCAGAAGAATCAGAGGAACCAGAAGAACCAGATGAACCAGAAGAACCAGAGGAACCAGAAGAACCAGAGGAACCAAAGGAAAGGGCCTTGCTCAAGGGCCCAGGGTGGAGCCGATGAGGGTGGAGGCAGGTGTGGGTGTTTCGCCTTTATCACATTTTAATGTTGACTGTTCAGGGCGTTGAACCGGCGACCAAATCCTTAACTAAAAACTAAACTACTTTAAAACTAAAAAGTACCAACAGCCTAGCTAAAAGTAACAGAGTATCATCGTAGCTAAATGTTAGCTAAAAGCTAAAGTAGCAAATAGGGAACTATGAATAGCAATAGGTTAAGTAAAAGTTAAAAGTAGAAAAACACTACATGTAAGCTAAAACTACAAAAGCCGAGCTACAAGCCATACTTAGTGAAAGGATAGTTAAAAGCAGCAAAACGTTAACTAGAAGTTAAAGGTGACAAAAATCTAAACAGTAACAAATGGAAAATAAAGACTAAAGTATTTAAAGTATTTAACAACTAAAGGTTGTTAAAATTGGCTAAAAGTAGCAAGTGGCTAGCTAAAATGTACAAATAGCAAAAGTTTGATTTAACAACACTTATGTACGTTCACTGTTAAATGTGGGAATCTTAGTGTCACGTGTTCAACCTGTCAATCAACAGGACTGGGGTGGACAGTCACACAGCTTCTCTCCGTGGACTACCAGCAACAGACAGACATTTTACAAACATGTCATGTACATTGTAACATCATGTGAAGTCTGTGAGTGATGTAACTTCTTTGTTAAAATTGTGTTTGTGGCTGCTGTTTATTTATTGGCTGCGAGTAAAATCCCTGGGGGGCCATGACACCTTGGTGTCAGGATTGCATAACGTACAATCCTCTCATGTTAATAACTCCATTCTTTATTTCTTCTTCTTGTTAAACTAGAACAAACAGTCCATGGTGTCGGGTTTCAGTGAGATTGGGAGTGTCATGCTGGCTGCCTTGCCCAAAGGTATGAAGATAAATCAGTCACAAAAGTAGAGTCGCACAGTGAGATTTGTACCTGTCGATCCACAAGTGTACCACAACTTTTACAAATGTGTCCTACGATTCACAAATGCATAATTTCAATTTGCACAATTATAAATATTCTGTGCACGCAAATTGTCAAATTAACGTGTACAGATGTCCGGCTGTAAACAAATCAATCATCACGAGCGCATCATCTTGCCTGACTCCACACTTTCTTGCT